TTGGACATATTAGGAATGTACGATTGGGTCCAGCTATCCCATCCCTTACTTTGTACTTAGCATAACAATAGCTGACTGTGTGTCTCAGTACATTTACCTGGGAATTACAGGGAACACCAGCAGTCTATGTGTTTACCCACTTGGTGTGATGAACACTAAGGTATGTGCATATGTACAAAAGTGGCAAAACAGGATTTTTCCTGACCTTAAACTTTGTGTAACTGGTTTTGCCTATATTTGTCCCAGCATCACAGAGGGTCCAATAGACCTATACCATTTCAGGATTTGTTTAAAAAGTTTCCTTTTGATTGTTTTCTGGTAGAAATAGCTCAATTCAGTACAATGGCACACGAAAAACCAGATTTGCAAGTTTTGGAGGAAGTCAAAAGTAAATCATCAAATTACTCATGCATTGATGATGATGATGTAGTATGGTAAAATACATGTTCTCACAGCAGAAGAGCAGTGGAGATGTGTGATGCTGCTGCTGCTGCTGCTGTGCTGAAAATAAGGATGATGGTGACCTTGATATTGGCCAAGTGAGACAAAATTCCTGTGACAATGAAATGGAGCAAGAATCGACTATTACAGATACAGAACATACCGATTTCATTGTTTCAGATGACCAAGAAAATGGCAATATGAGTATGTATTTGACAGTCAAAGTATTGCAAAATGGCTGTGCAACTAAATGGAATGATCCGATATTAGAACTAAGTTTGAAAATATAGGAAGGGTCTTGGCAAGGGTGAAAGCTGTTGGGCCAAATGCAGCAATACCATTCAGTGTAGGGAACTGTAACAGATGAAATGCTATAAAATGTTATGAAATACATCACAGCTGAAATGCAGATAAAATGTTCTGTATGTACCATACCCATATTAAAAAATATGTTTATTATAAGACATCACCAACTGAACTGAAAGCATTCATAAGTCTGCTGTAATTAGCAGGGATTTCTCATGGTGATTGCAGGAATGTAAAAGATTTATTGAAAAGTGATGGGTCAAAATATGGCATAAAAATTTATGCCCTTGTAGATGCAAAGACATATTATGGTTTCAATTTAGACACTTATCTTGGAACTCAGCCATCAGGTCCTTATTCATATAGTAATAAACCAATGATATTGTGAAGAGACTTGTAGCTCCCATCTCCCAAACTAATTAAGGATGAGACATTTGACAGTTGGATTACTGGTTTCCAGTCGATGATACATTTTCTAACAGAACACAAGTTGACTAGTGCAGGAACTGTTTGCAGGAACAAAGCAGAAATTCCAAATGAAATGTGGCAATTTCAAAACAGAGAATGTTATAGTACAATCTTTGGATTTCAGTAAGCTATAACATTGGCCTCACATATGGCAAAGAAAAACAGACTTTTACTGCTGATGTCAACATTTCACCATGATGAAAATACTGATAGGCAAACCTCAACAAAATGAAAGCCTAAGATGGAAACTTTCTACAACAAAATCAAAGATGGAGTAAATGCATTGATGATGTCTGTTGAAATTATGATGTCTGTTGAAATACAGCATTTGCAAATGGTTCTATTTTACTTGATCCTAAATATATATGGTATAAATAGTTTACAAAGAGAATAACAAGTGCAAAATATCATAGAAAAATTTTATTAGAGAATTGGGAATGGAACTCATAAGAGATCATTTACAGCATAGGAAAAACAAAACGTTTCTGTCCAGGGAACTACACAAATAATTTTGGAGCACTCTGGCAAGCTGACAGGTGAACAGGCAGGCATCACAAAGACTTATTACAACAACAGGTAAATAAAAATATGCCAATTGTGCTCACATCTAGTATGAGTAAAGTACAGGAAAACAAAACATACGTGCTACAGTATAGATGATACTTGTGGGTAGAACCTGCAATTGTCATATGTGAAGACTGTCTTAGGTGTGACAGTTGAAGCAGAGCTTATTTCTATGGTAGACTTTTGTTTGTGTTTACATGTAGGAATTGCAGTTCATGTAGGAATTTATTTCTGATGTTATCTTTTAGGTTTTCTAAGCAAGTACAAAGCTGATGTGAAAATGTTATTTCTAAATGCATTTATTCTAAATATATGGTATATATTAAGAATTTAATACTTTATTTGATTGATGTTTTATGTTCCTATTAACTACACACTGTGTAATATAATTAAAACCTCCTGAGAGAACAGCAAGACCACTGAGAAGTCAAGTATGTCCTACAAAAACTCAAGAAAGCAAAACATGTGCTATCAGTGTAAGTGACACATTTGTATGGAATATGCTATCTTCTTGTGTATATACTGTCTTAGGTAAGATAATTGAAGTAAATTTTTTTTTGTCAGGTGCTATTGGTATTTTCATTATAGCTCATATAAGAGTTTATTGGTGTTGTTCTTTTCTAGACTTAGTATACCAAAAAACAGCCAACGTTGAAAATTTTGATGCTTTTTTAATAAACACTCAATAAATATTGTTATATCATGTACAGATGCAAATATCCTACAGTGAATGTGATCATTATGTATACTTAAAATGCACCAATAAACTTAATTAAATGAAGAATATTAAAAATTCAACACTTTATTTTTTATGACTATTTTTCCTC